GGCCAGTCCCATTTCCCTGTTCTCTAAGTAGCTCTAGGTATTTGTATCGTAGGCCGTGCAGTCGCCTCTTGCTTCGCTATTGCGTTTCTCACCTACACAACTATCTGCCGAGGCCTACGCGCACCCCCTTTATTCGTGAACGTCAGATCGAGATACGATAAGGGGGAAATTACTAATGTCCGCTGATGTCTGTCGTGAATAACTCGTTTTACGGAGATCGACGAAGACGTTGCTGGATTAACCTTCCCCGAAAAGCGGGGGAATTCGTATCTTGTAGGAGTGAACGATGTACGTGTAGTGGTTGACAAAAATTAATTCTGTAACATTTGATTTTCATAATATCAAATTTAATATATGTATATTTGTTAAGATTTGAAACTTTGGAAAGATGAGTAAAATTTAGTAAGATTAGAGTAAAATCAATTTTAAACTTCTATATGAATTGTTTCCAGTGCTGAAGTAATAAAATCATCGAAATATAATTTGTGTTATGCTGTTTCAATGCTGTTACTTCTTACAGACATAATCATTGTATTACTATTTAAACAGAAATATTACATCAATCATACAATTATATTCCATCAATATTCAACAAATCAAAATAACGCATTCACAACCTTACGCGAGCAAGTAGCACGTTCTCATTATTCTCGATCGAAACCAAAGAAAATACGAAAGAACAAACAGCACCATCGACAAATGAAATCCAGTATCACTTCCGTCTGTGACTCATCCACTCGGCTGAAACACACGGATCGGTCTCGAAAGCGCGCTTAATCCATCATCGAATGCGCCGAGCGATGATTACAAGCCTGGAGATCGCGACTTACGGCGCACGGGAAACCGAGTCGCGAGCGCGGCAAACAAACGCAACATGCTGCCGCTTCGATTATCCCCGAATTTTTGTCCGTGGACCCCGAGTCGCCGAGTTAAGGAAGCATTTTGGCAGCAAAAAGCGCGCGTCAGATTCGTCAGCGTTTCACCAGCGGAGCGGCGTATAGCACGCTGCAACAACCGCTCGGAATTCCCGCGCGTAGCGCGCTCCTTGCACCCTGTCCTTCCAACCCTGCCCGGCCTGAGAGCGCTTTTCGGCTAGGCGAGTCGAACGAGAGGCTGGCGTGTGGTAGCTGCCTGAAATCCTGACGTCCTGACGTGGCAGTGCGAGAGCCGACAGAAGCGAGAGCCAGGGCTCGGCACCAGGGCTCGGCCCAGCTAAGCTCAGCACATTGCTGTGTGCCTTCCGGCTTACATCCGACAATGTTTTCATATTATGGCCCAACGAATGTTTACGGCGTGCCAGCTGCATTACATCCCCCTGCTTCTTCTTCCGTTCGCCCTGCTTCGTCGCTCGTTCGCCGTTCTTCCACGAACTTAAGTCCTTTCGACGTTTTTCCACCTCCCTCGAACTCACTGGCGCTCGGCTATGGGCTGTTCTTGGCACATCCGGTAAGCCAGCGGTGAGCCAGGCGCCGGTGGAATTGCGCCGGAACGTGTCTCTTGGCATCCGAGCAGCTTCTCGCGCCCGGACGAGAACGAGCTTAAAAGCCTCGGTGAAGGACTACTGGCTTGCCTCCCGGAAGAGAACTTGAAAGGAACCACGAAAAGGGACACTCGACTCCCTCACTCGAGCGCTTTCCTCCGCTTACCCGTTTGTCTCCAACTCGTCGTCGACTTCGTTCTCACTCTGGTTTTCACCCGTTTGTTCGTCCCTTTATGATTTACCAGCCACGGCGACGATTTTTCGGTTAACTTCTTAAGCTCTTTCGCGCGAGCGATTCCCTCTGTTTCTCCACGGTTCGCGCGACCGTCAAACCATCTAGGTACTTACGTGGATCGATTTATTTTTACGACTGTGAACGAGGTGAATGTGGTGTTGCTTCGTTTTGTGTAAAATTGAGCATCGATACTTATTATCTTTTTTAATGAAAACTCTTGTTGGTTAACTTAGATTTAGCAGTGTTTCATTCGTGTTAGCTGTTTAATATAACGTGACAGAGTGTTCTTACTATTGGAGTGTTTTTATAATTTAATAAATTGAGATTAGAAATAATTTAATAAAATATAAGGAATCTTCCAACTAGCTTGCTACTTCGTAAAATAAAAATTATATAATATGTTATACTAAATATTTCAAGAGTACTTCAACAAAATATTCTTTATATCTCATGTCAAGATAAATCTAAAATTTGAATATCTTTTAATACCAAAATTTAAATTTCTTTTATTAATATTGTTTTACTAGTATTATTATTCTTATTACTATATTATTTTATTCTTACTATTTTAAATTATACGATATTTCATATGTACTATTCGCTCATTATCGTACAAATAACTTCGAACAATATATTTTTAAAATTAAAGCTTAGATAGGAGATTGATGTCAAGAATAAAGATTAATTTAACGCTTAAATCCAAAAGCGCTACGAATTAATAGATTGTTAAATCTCATGGAAATCGATCGTTTTATAAAAGCACGTACGCTGTGTTTCACCTAAGACAGAAGGTGTGCTAGAAAGTATGAGAGTATAACATATGGCAATTAAGCTGGAATATGATAAGGTACATCAGACAAATATTTGTCCGATGATGCCTTTACCTTCGATCCACTAGATAGGACTTTTACCATCTTATCGGTGTCATACGGTTCGAGATTCGAGAATACAAAAATTAAATAAACGTCGACAAAGGAAGCTTTCGCTTTGAGTGCGTGGCTTATTGGAAAGCATTATGAATCATTCTTATAAATATGAAACTGTAATGCAAAAGTTGTGTATTTGAATAGCAGAATATTTTTAATCAACCAGGGAACTAAAGTTTGATACATTTCTTTTATTAGGACACCTGTTAGTTTCATGTGGAACGTAATAAACGATTCATCAGAACTTTCGATTCGTGCAAGATAAGGATTTGAAATATAGTTCAAAGTCGATAGAAATTGTTTACAGGGATGATAGGAAATGAACGGAAATGTATGTGTAATGAAGATATTTGATTTCAAATGTAATTGTTCAAAAGTTAAGAAATACACGAATAATACTTTATAATAATACGAAATATAATACAATTAACGTGTTATTAATTTCAAATCTATCAGTTGAAAACTGTATGAATTTATAAATTAAGATAAGATCATATAAGAAAGTAACTATGAATTCTTTGAAATTATATCTGTATCAAACATACACTTTCATTCAACTACTTTCGTTTCACTTTGATTAACGTCGATTAAAATTTATCGAACATGCTAAAGATTTGCTGATTTTCAGGCACGAAGAAATTTAGAACTCCGAACAATGCGTTGTTCACGCGCGCTTTTCTTTTTCCCTCGACAGCCATCGAGCGTAACTTCCGTCGAAAAGAACTTTGTAAACTCGATGATGGTCAAAGAACGGAAACAGCTCGGCCTAAAAGAGTTGAGGCGCTTAACTTTAAGCTGAAACTAATGAGATTGAAGCACCACGTAAATGTCGTCTAACGAACGGAAGGAGCTTTCGGTCTTTGATTCAAGGTAACGTCTACTTTTCGAAATTAGGATGCCTTTTAATGGACGACGGAGCATGGTCGAGCAACGATCGCCCAACTTTTTCCCAAGTGGTCAGAGCTTACCCTTTCGGTTGATTTCAATTTTTTAACAACCGTTTCCGTCGAAATTAAAATCTCCAATGCGATTGGCGAAGTTGGAAATTTCACCGTCAAACTCGTAAATTACGAGCACAAAGTACGTAGAATATCATTCTGTGAAATCGTTCGTTGAATTTTTGTGTACTCATTATTTTGTCGGATTTAATTATAAATTTTTATTAATTATATATCGAATATCGTTCGATTTTACACTGATGTGATAAAAGTGTGGCAAGTTTAAAATGTATCCGATATAAGAGGGGAACATCAGCTCTTTTATATTCTTAAATCAGATAGTTTTTTTGTATACAAAAGAATTTGTCGGAATTCGAGTGTTTAATCATTGTTTAAAGTGCAAAAATAAAATGTGGAAAATACTTTTCATCAATTTTCCATCGAAGTCAAATGTTTTTTAAAAATCATAGACATGAATTCGCATAAAGATTCACAGTTTAGTTGTATTGCAATGCACAATATCAATAATTTAAATAAACCATGATTACTTAGTTTTTAATACAGACAATACGCGTCATTTTTCATGTATAAATTACTCAAAAGTTTTTATGACAGGATTCGTCAAATTACAAGCTTCAATTGCTTAGCTTGAATCAAATAATCCTATCTTATCCTCGTCTTCCTGATAAAGGCACTCTTTGTCTGATCGAAAACGCGAATCGATTAATAAAAAAAAAAAAAGGGAGGGGGGAAGTAAAGAGAATCTGGCAAATAAAATTGACTCGAAAAGGAACAGGTGCGCGACAAGAGAAAGGGTCTCGTTTAATCGCCACGATATCATTCGATAAAACGACAACTGGATCAGCCATATGTGACTTAATCGAAATCGCCGGTGAACGAGGTCTTTCTGTGTGTCTCGAGATTCCTACCAGATAGGTTAACAGATCGTCCTGAATGCCTCTGGTTTTTTCCCTTGTCGAGCAAATAGCACGCTCTCAGGAACCTTAATGTTCACCGAGAATCGACTGTTTTTTCAACATTAGTGGTTCCTGACGCATCGATTTGCCTCCAGTACTTTCCCATTCTTAATTCAAATGTCTTTCTGCGGGCAAGAGAAAATCTGTTCGAATTTCTAGATGTTACTTTGTTCTTACTTTACCATTCCTATTATTTTTAGTATTCTTATTATATTAGTTATTATAGTTATTTTATTAATTCTTCTTGAAGTTGTCTTAAATAACTCCATTGTAGTATCATTCGAATCATTTTGTCGTGTATTTTTTTCTTTCTTTTTTTGTAGATCTAAATTACACGACATGTATATTCTTTTTATCATGTGAATTATGTACTATTATTATTATTATTATTATTATTATTATTATTATTATTATTATTATACATATTTTCATTATGTGCATTCTCTGAAATTTTGCATTTTGAAATCAAAATATTCGTGATATATGAAGTTCCGTATACTATTTCGAAATGTTGAAGCTTAGATCTAACCTTACTGCATGTTTTCAACGAACAATGATAATGTTGTCGAACATAGCGAATTTAAAGGCGATAGCAAACTCGAAACGCGACGCGACACACACGCGATCGAGCAATATAGCATGTAACGCAATCGAAAGCCGCGCGCGGCTTAATTTTCCAGCGGCCACCGTGCAATTACATGCTTGATCGCGTATAATTTTCTAAAATGTTTATCTTCCAAGTAGTCGCGCGGTTGTTGTTCGAACGATTTCGCGTGGAATCGACGGAATTTCATTTCATAACGTCGGGCAAGCATCGGCCACGGGGATATTATCGTGCGTACGGCGATCTCGCCTCAAAAACGGAACGCAATAATCTCGTACGAGCTGATAATAATAATCGTCAGCTTAATAATCGTGACCTCTCCGCCGAATGGAAATTATAATACGCTGTGGTACGAGTGTCGCGGAGTTGGCTCGCGTTTACTCACTTGTTAGATATTCGATCGAACGTAGATGTCGAAATTAAAAAACAAACACTGATTTTTTAAAGGCAGATGTTGTAAGAAGTTTTTTATCTGTATATGTTGTGTGTAATACACAACATATCTATTAACATTGTAGTGAGATTCAACTGTAATGGTTACATTGGTCAAATAAATCTGAGAATATGTATGAAAATTAAAATATAATGAAATTAAAAATATATATAGAAATTACAAGATATACAAGAATACAAGATTTTATACACATGTTTTGCAGAAATCGTAACTAGTGCCTTGTAATTTATTTATAGATTCTTAGATTGGTCTTGAATTTTATCAGTGTAATCAAAATAATGTTAATGAAATTTTAAAACGTTTTACATAACGAATATAACACATATGCATATGTGTTCGAATGCTTTCGCAAATCACTGTAAGACCTTATTTTCTGAACTTTGTGTTCAATCATAATACGAAATATTTTTATTATATTCATAATTACAATTTCTTGGATTTTCTAATGAATGAAAGAAAAAAATTTCATAAATTTACAAAGTCTAGATAAATGTTAATATTAACCAAACTCTTGGAACTCTCTTTCATAACTACAAAATAGGGGGTCGCTAATGTAAACTGATTGAAAGATATTTCTTCACGATTTAAAAATCTTTTTCCCAAAATTTGTTAAACATTCTTTTTCCGTGGCTTCTACAGTTTGAAACATTACTAACTAACTAACTAATCCAAACAAGACTGCACTTTCAAAAGTGAAGAAAATATAACAATATAACTGAATTGTGCTTTTACGCGTGATTTATTTTATTAACTTCGAGACACATGTCAGATATTTTTCAAAGTCAATCTGATTAATTGATAAAACTTTGATCGGTATATATTTATCGTTGAAGCACTTAATTACTTAATAATCCTTCCCTTTCCGACCGAGGATCTTCTCGCGTGCTTGTAACAAGTCCTCCTCGGTGATCTGTACCTGACACCTCTTCGCGTACACGTGACATCTCATGTTCGAGCAACATTCTCTGGTGGAAATGCACTGAAATGAAGAAATAAATTCACGTTAGCGAATTTATCAGCTGGTATAAATGACGTTGCGCAACCGCTGGCTGCATATTATTACTGCTGCTTTAAAATTCTATTTTAGGCTGTCATCGTGCACGAGACTCTAGTTAGCGGAACTAGTTCGCGTAACCCTGTTATTATTTTTATGTCTGGTCCTCTTTATGACTTGTGCTAAGCTAACGTCGAACGTGCCTGATCAACACATGTCTGTACGATAGTTATTATAACAGTACAAGTTTTATTGAATGAAATGAAAATCATTTTTTATCCACCATTTTATATAAAGGATCGAGATATTTAAGTATCTTAACTTAATTTTCTAACGTCGTTTTTATTCTTTAACACACGAATAAAATAGGACTTGGTGTGCTCTATCATTTAATAATAAATTTATTATAAATACATGAACTTTTTTAAACTTCATAAAGTTATAAAATTTAGATAAAGTACGCAATGATGCAAAGATATTGAGCGGATACTTAGAATTTCTTTCATTGTCACGGTATTCGAAAAATTGAATCTGTTAATATAAATTCATTGAAAAGATTTGCGAATGAAAGATTTCGCATTAGCGCAATTTACAATTTTTTATCGCAGTATCGAAATCGCAGGTTGACGATGAACCGACACGTTACATGATTCTTTTTTTTTTACGTAGACAGTTGGAGAAATGATAGAATAACTTTTTACTTACGGGGTCACCGTGTCTACCGCATGAGTTTGGAGCAGCCGTAATGACGGTCGTAGCCAGCAAAACGATGCAAACGAACAGCATAAACTTGGACATTTTGTTGCGACGTAGTTTCACACTGGAAATAAGAAAAAAATTGTATCACTTTCTCTTGCCACAATTTTTTATTACCATGCAGCACCAAGGATTTTATTGTTACCTATTAAATTATTATTTTCTTTTTTTGTGAAGAGGCATTTCGAACGAACAAACGAAACATATTTTATATTTGTAAAACGAAACTCTAGATTGTTCCTAAAACATTTCTTTCGCAAATATTGCAAGTTCAACATTTTCAACTACGCTAATATTAAACTATTTCTTGTCCATCACTATGTGCAATCACTTTTGCGATTGATCGTATTTCAGAAATAAATTAGGAAGAAAAAAAGATACTTATTCGCACAATTATATTTTCTTTGATTTGTGCAAAGATCTGCGAAGATCGGCCTTCATGGAACTCTCATTACGCAAGCGAACGAACACGTGTGTGATCCATACGCAGCAATGTATACAGGTGTCCATGAATGAGTCATTAACTACTGACCTGACTCGTTCTTGAATAGCGAACAGAGTAACTAAAGTGCATGGCCACGGCCGACCGTGAACAGCTCAATCTACTTCGCAAAATCCTTGTCACGTATTTCGTATGGCGGAATTCTTTCGTTTCTCAGAAATCACGAGATAGTAATAAACACACATATATGGTATTTTTCTCGTTAAAAAATTGCTACTGTATCATGAATTAATTATCTCTGTTTATTTCAGTGTGTTTATTATATTATTTTTCATGCAAATTTTATGAATATGTAATGCTATTATCTCGAATTATTGTTAATGCATAAATAAAATTAATATTTTTAATTAAATTAGGTTTAGTAAGGAACCGATTGGTTTCTTAGGTTCATTTTAATTTTATGTTATGTATAATATTTATAATTAGTGGGCGAAGTGACCAGACTAAAATAAAAAACTTTATCTTTCCTCCGTGAATAATTCTTGAGAAGCCGCGAATTGATTATCTCTGTTTGCTTAAGTAACTGTACTACATTACTTATCATGTAAGTTTATGAATATGCAATGCAGTTGTATCTCGAATTTTCTATTGTTAGAAATGAGCAAGAGTAGTACTTCGAATTAGACCGGATATTTAATAAAATTGGTATCTCAGTTAGTTTTGTAGTTTTCAGTATTTCTTTTCAGCATTTTTAAATTTTCTTCTAGTTTTCGATTAGTATTTTCAATTAATTGTTAACATCGTAGGCAATTTAAATTTATTCTTTCTCTCTCGTATGACATCGATTTTATTTTCAATTTTCAAGATTGTTTAATTTACGTTTATCGTGACGCTTGATTCGCGAAAAGATAATCATTTCGAAAGCACAATAGCTTGAGATAAATAACAATATGTGACAACAGTATACGTTCAAAGTTCAATGCACGTTCAAGTTAACGCATCGAGGAGAAGTTACTTGGAAAACATGAACGTTTTTCATTTCTTTGAAGAGTCTTCGAGAAAATTTGAGAAAAAATTTGATACTTACTATTGACCGTGTATTTAACTTTCACTTCATACGATTTTATATGTTTTTCTTCATATTCGATCACTTCAAATCCTGTGTTTGCGTCAAGAATTATTTACCAATATTTGTCATTGATCGATTCTTGTAGTTTTAATTAATTTATCACAATGATTTAGAGATACATATCTCCAATGTATTTGGAAGAAATTTGTTTGTCCGTACAGAGAAACTACGCATGAATGCTACTCACCAAATGGGACTTGAATCGTCGGAGCGATTTCACAACGTTTCCTTCACAACGATGGTCTCGACAGTTCGGCCTTAACTGATTTCTCAACTTCGTATATACTACGCTTTTATACATCGCGTCACTCTAACCAGTCTTTAAGTCGTGTATTATACGTACAGTATGCGGAGTGCGTGTACGTAGCTGTAAGACGTAATTGCGAGAAATGTTATACTTCTTGTTCACGTGACTCGGTTTTAAGAAATGCACCACACGGTTGTGTCTCGCTCTTTGTCGCCACAAATGAATTTTCATGTACTGGTCTAGTATTTCATGTACTACAACTAGCTGTCCACAGCCTTTCTTTCTTCTTTTTAATTCTTCTCTTTGTTGGGATTTTTACTTGCGAATAGCAATTGTCTCTTGAGATTATTATGTTATAATTAACTATTAAATTAATTTTATTGTTGTTTATAAGAGTTTTATTCTCGTAAGACTGACAAGTATTTATATAGATGACGTTTATAGGAAAAATAATTTACGAAGTTCATAAATTTAGAAATTGAGACACATCTATGACCCGTATTGAATTCATTTTATTCATTCAATTGTTCAAGAATTATAGTTTCAGGTTTGATGAAAGGAAATTCCAGCACTTACACACAAATGAAAGATTGGGAACTCGCGAATTGTAAAAAATGTAAAATATGCATCAAATTTAAATGATTAATACTGTCTTGTTTAAGTTAAAAAGGTGATTAACTATAATTATATATTTTGAATGGACACTTAAAACATTTAAATGATAATTGTAATTCAGTTACTACTGATGTAAATAAATCATGAACATAAAATATGAGCTCAGAAGGAAGAAATAAAAGAAAAACTGTAATTAAGCCATAATAGAAGAATTGTAATTAATAGTAAACGAGGCAACTGCTTTTATTTTTCAATTATTCTAGAATACGTGTAAATAATTATGCCCAGACTCATTTCATTGCATTGAAAATATTTTCAAGATACAATGAAAAAAGCGAGCAACTTGTCGGAAACCGGAAATACGTGATACTGTTTATTCTTGGAAGCTGAATGTACACAAC